TTGCTAATATTTGCTTTCAGAATGCGAACTTGGCAGGTCTGTGAAAATGAAAGGTATACCATGCCCAGAATCTCATCATGGAGAGTATGTTGGTAGACTGGGAATAAAGGTGACTGAATACTCTCTTTTTTTTTCCTGAAAGATGCTGATGCCAACACATCCCTGTGGAATAATCAGGAAATTTCCACTGTGGTCTTTGTCTTCTCTGAGGGAGAAGACGGCTGAAACTTGATTTTTTTTTTTTTTCCCAAGCAGAAAACTAGATTCCAAAAAAAACACATCCATGGTATCCCCAGGTAACAACCTTATTCTTGATGAGAGCTGGCTACAGGGAGAAGAAAGCATGTCTGAAAGCACTGCCAGGTGTGTGGAAGCAAATCCAGCAGGGTTCTGAGTCAGTTCTTATATCCCACGCTGCCCAGCCAGTTTTTCTCTAATTTGCAATTAGACCAATGAAGACTTTTTTTCTTTTAATTTGAACACACTAGCTCAAGTAGCTTTTTAAACAAAATTCTTTCTTGATGGAAAGTCTTCCAGTCTGTATGGTTAAAAAAAAAAAAAAAGAACAACTAAGAGCAGTATTTATTCAAGGAGGCTCTTTTGGCCTGGCTTTTATTTGATCATATTAATCTTCAGGTTTCATCTCCTCTAGAACCAGTCCGTACCATGCATTGTGAGGTACATTTAAGTGCTTTTGTGTTACCAGGCAAAAAAAAAAAAATCAGAACAAAAACAATGACAATGATCGAGATTCATAGTGACAAGCCCACAAACACTTCATTTTGTTTTTCTCTTCAATACCTCAGACAGAACAATGTTAAGGTTAGGAAACTAAAATCCGTGGAGAACACTGCTTTGATGGCCTCTGCATTTTCCACATCATCTTCTTATCACAGGACAGTGTGTGAACATAATTGTTGTTGAGCAGATTCAACAGCACAAGAAGCTACTAATAGACCCTATCCTAGCTGGAAACACACTCATGATCTTTGTCTGTGGTGCAGAAGTGAATGCAAACGGAACTTGGGGCTGAGGGAGGCCTTGGTGTAGAATTGCTCAACCTTGTCTTTGCTTTGGGTTTGGTGATCTTTGGTTCCCACATCACCACCCGTTCAGTTAATAAAAACCCACTAGTTGCCAAATGCATGTCATTTCAGGCTCCACTTAATAAAACAACAATTAAAATAGATGTAGACCCTGCCTGTCACACAGATGAGCAGTCAGTTAGTAAATGTGGAAAAAAAAATAAACATGTTTATAGTTGGATTAAGAGGAAAGGTACGTTAAAGGCATCTTAAGTTGAAGAGACCAACAGAGACAGTCAGGGCAGTTGTTTCCTGAGCCCAGATATTAGGCTGAGATTTAGTGTGAAGTCAGCTCTGTGTAAGGAGTGAAGGAGGAGAGCATTCTAAAGAGCCTCTTGAAGGAAGGCTTGAAACACTGCAGCATGGATTGCAGTTAATTTTGGCTGGGGCCTGTAGACAAAGGTAGAGAAATGTGCTAGTGTTGGCACCTGGGCCGGAGCCAGAGCCTGCTGTCCCTGCAAGGCTGGTCAAGGAGGGTAGATTGACCCTGCAGGGCTAGTCATTGGAATAACCAGCATGCTGCAGAAATATGTCAATATAGATCATTAGGGCTGCTTAGACTGGATAGGAAGTAGAAGGAAGAAGGGTAGTTCCAAGACCATTTAGAGTAGTTTAGTGAAGAAACTACCTGGCCTGTGACGGGGAGGTGAGAAGACATAGTCAAATCTCACTGGTAAAGCAATATGGCATGGAGTTGGAAATCACTCAAATGTTTTCTCATTCCCCTCTCCACATATGTGTGTGTGTATGTGTGTTCACATATATACATACATGTCACATATATGTATATAATGTGAAGAGGGGAATAATGTATGTTGCAGACCTTTCCCTGCAATGGAGTAGGATAGGGGAATCCATACCTTTGCGTTTCTATTTTGACTTTAGATCTCTTAGCATAACTTGTTTTGATTTGGGTGCACAAATTAGTTCCCTCTTCCCACACTGAACCTCTGGCCTCTGGTTGTATGGTGCACACATAGGGGTCAAAATGAGATTTATGTGTTCTCATGGACACTTGTGGGTTCCTATGTGTTCTCTGGGCTCATTGTGGTCCTGGGAAGCATCTGTTGTTGGGTTCCTGGTGCTGATACACTGTGAGGAAAATGCTGAAGAGACGTTTTGTTTTCTTGCCTCTTGGGTCTCTTTGTCAGCCCAGCATTCCTCTAGGTCTCATCCAAGTCCTCTGCTTGATTCCTGATGAGTCTGTAGCATGTCTGTGTCATTGTTAGCCACCTCCACACACATACAACATACATACATACATACACACACACACATACATGCAGAGTCACCTTGTTAGCCACACCCCTTAGGTTTCAGGTTGAACGGGAAGACTGAGGCACAGGAAATCCAACTGTTTTCTTACCCTTTGTCTCCACTGGGGAAGAACAGGGAGGTGATTCTCAACTGCTGCTTGATGAACATTCACCATCTTTTTATCCTTGTCCTCCAGAGGACAGCAAGCCCATTGAAAGTTAAATTTTACACATTCTTCAAGGTCTGCCTCCCCTACAGAGTTTTTAGACTAATTTGCTTTGGTTGTGAATCTAATTGTGATTAATGTTTACTATTGTGCATGCCTGCCTTTTGTTCTTCTGGATTATAAGCTTCTTTTGAGAGCAAAGAGGCAGTGCAGCCACATGCTGAGCACCTACCAAAATATCACCTGGGTCACCGGCCACTTTTAGCATACAAAAATATGTGATGAATAGCAATTGTCACAGCTACATTCTTCATAAATCTTCCTAAACCTCTCATTAAAACCGTTGGAACAAGTATAGGAGTGCTATTTCCCCGACAGCTTTGGCTCCTTTCTATTAAATTTCCATAGAGATCCTGTGACCTGGGCTACGCTCAGCTGTGGGAATCAGATTTTCAACTATTCCTTCCAGGCCATGAACCAGAATGTCGTTATATTTACAGGGCTCTGTGGAGGAACCCCAAACACGGCAGTGCAACTGTATATCAGAAACCACTATCATAAATGAGTTGGACAGGATAAGCCAACTTGAAAGAGAAAATAAAATATTATAACCCCAACTTGAAAAGAAAATATGGTGTGTGGTTTATTGCGGTAGGTTATGGAGGAAGAAAGAACCGATTTTAAGTCAAACACAGAAAAGCAGTGACACTCTTTAAATTCAATACAGTATTCACATGGCAGACGCTGAACTTCAGAAAGCCAAACCTTTAGGCTCCTGCTCTGGTCTATAAAATAGATGTAAAATTGCCTTTGCTACATTATTAGTGCACCATTCTAGAGGCAAGGAATGTTTAGGGAGCAAAATAACCTTGAAGCCAGCATGGCGCTTTCAAGTCAGAGTCTGTTTGTGGGAATCTCACATTGCATTTTAAAGACATTTTAAAGGCTGTGGTTCTGGGAAATTCCACTCTGCCGAGGTAAGGAGGAAGAAGGACGAGGAAAGATCTGTAGCAGAGGAACCAACTTTCATTGTCTTAGAATACATCTTGCAGTCAGCAACAATCTCAGTCTTTCCTTAAACAATGAGATTTCTGTATTTCTAGATTTGCTTTTTGCAGAGTGCCATTCATTCTTTTGAGCACACCACAGGTTGTGTAATAAAGAATTTGGAAGATGTGTCATTTGTGGGAAGCAACTTGGTGATTCTTGAATAAATCACCGTATCTCTTTCTCTGAATCGACGGGATTGCAGACTATGCAAGCATTCTCTGGGAATCAGGAGCAAGGGCTACCAATGAGATATGAGGAAAATAATTTTCATAAAACATTTTCAAATTTGGAATTTTAAAATTTCAAAGTAGCCTTAAAACTCTTAGGGATCAGCAAGTTGAAGGGCTCCATGTCTTCACCTTAGATATACCAGGAGAGCCAGATCTTGAAGAAGGTGTAAAATTAAAATTTTAAGATGAGACATGAGGCTTGCTGCCCTATGGAAGCCTGAGTGTGTGTGGCTTGAGTAGAGCAAGTCATTTACATCTGGTTCAGACACAAAGGTATCAAAATGCCTCCCATGACCAAGGCTGGAAGCAGAAACACTAGGACTCATATGGAACATGTTGTCTAAGGCATTTTCTAGTCTCGAAGCATGAGGGTGATGTATTCAGCTGTGTCGGGGTTTACTGGGACTAAGATAGGATGCAGTGGAGAGGTCTGATGTACTAACGAGGAGAAGAAAAATGAACGGCCTCTGAGGATCTAGCCAAGAGGCCAGCCCAAGTGTATGCACTGGCCTTGTCCAGCCTGCTGAGCAGCTTCTTTGCTGCTTCTGATTTTCTGATGAGTCTTGGAGACTGAATGAGATGCATTTCATGTGGCCCCATTCAATTTTATATTCCAGGAAATTCACCCCTCTGGGTAAAAACCGAGTTTCTTTTTGTTCCATTTCTACAAACATTTCAAGTCATTAAATGAGCAATTTCTGGTGGCAGGAAAGGCACGTATATGTTGAATGGGAAATGTAGCCAATTATTTGACTCCCTCAGGCTGATTGCCTGTTGGTACTTTACTGGACTGACTTGATGAATGTAATCGTCTATCCATCACTCATTCACTTACTCAGGTGTTCATTCAGCAAGCATTCCCGAAGTGCCTACTGTGTGTCACCAACCATGGATCTCACCACTATTCAATTTTCTTTTGCTGTGCCCATCTGCACGCAAAGTTTGTGGCTAGTTTGGGGCAAAGACGGGGAGTGGAAGTGAGGCCACAGTCATATGCAGGGCAAACCTTGGTTGTCAGAAAGAAGTGAGTCACACATCTGGGTGCCAGGCCCAAGCCTTCTGTCGGGCTGAAATTTAAATCTACGACTAAAAGGAAATGGAATAAAAACAACAGCTGTTATTAATAGAGTCATTTTTGTTAATTTTCTAGGAGTAACACAAAAGGAAATCAGCTAATAGGAAAACAACTGATATTTATTTCTTTATTTTCAGATCACCAGATTAAAAATTGACCGAAACCCTTTTGCTAAAGGGTTCAGAGATTCTGGCAGAAACAGGTAAGAATACTTGGACAAGAAACTCACTGACTCCTTTTCTTGATGAAATTACTTTCCCCATAGCTCATTGGTGGCCCTTGGCTTCCGGTTCCCAGAGAATGTTTCCATACTCTGCAACTCCATTGACTCAGGGAAAGAGAAATGGGTGACTTGTCCAAGAGCCCCCAAGTCCCTTCCCAGAAAAGGCACAGCTTCCATTTTTTTTTTTTTTTTTTTTTTTTTTTTGTCACACAACTTGAATTACCACAACAAATCCTTCATGCTGTTTTCACCCCCTGCGTTATGCTCTGTGATTCGGTCCATGTAAAGGAAGGCACGTGATCATTTACTGTTATCGATGAATTTGAGTATTTTTCTGGTATCTGAAAATGGCTGTATGGGCTACAGTGGTGTCTCATAGACTTTATATTTCTGAGGAATAAAAGATTTCAGAAAATTACTACCTTTATGAGCTGAACTTTGTAATGACAAGTGCAATCATTTTACTCCTGGGAAATGGTCCCATCAAACACAGACACTTCTGACTTTAGTAAGGGAGTATTTTTATTTCTTGATTGCCATCCTTCTTTTTCTTTCTTTTTTAAAAATAAAATTTGCCAGGTGTGATGTCACATGCCTTCTAATCCCAGCACCCAGGAGACAGAGTCAGGAGGATCTCTGTGAGTTCAAGGCTAGCCTGGTGTACAAAGCAAGTCCAGGACAGCCAAGGCTACACAGATAAACCCTGTCTCGAAAAAACAAAAGAATAAAAATAAAAATAAATTTTCTGGGTTTTTTTGAAATTTATATTTTTGGAAATCTATATATTATAATTATAATATAATTATATCTCCCATTCTTTTCACCTCCATATCCTCCCATGTACCCTCTCTTGCTCTCTTTAAAATTCATGTTCCCTTTTCTTTAGTTGTTTCATTTGTTTTATATTTCTAAATATATACATACAACCTGTTCAGTCTGTATAATGTTACTTGTATGGATTTTTTTTTTTAATGGCTGACCATTTGCTATTAGATAACCAAAATGTGAGCTTGTCTCTGGGGTTAGGGACTATTTCTCCTTCTCTCAGCATTCCTTTTAGCCTGTAGTTCTTGATTAGGGGCTGTGAGCTTTCCTTCTTCCACATTAGGGTGCTTATTTGTGTTGTCCTTATTCATATCATGTTTCGGTAGCCATGTTTGTGAGACTTCATGTATGGAGCTTCTCTGGTATCTCTAGGAGACACAACCTCACAGCTACTTTACTGTTCTTTGGGCTCTTAGAATCTCCCCATCCCCTTTTTCAAACTGATCCCTGAGCCTTGGGTGTCAGAGTTGGGTTGTTAGATGTATCAGGTGGGCCTTTGTTTTAAAACTCTTCTCTTTTGGTCAGTTGTGGTTTTCTGCAATAGTCTCCAGCTGTTAGAGCAAAGAGAAGTTTCAGTGATGAGGGAGAACACCACCTTTCTTCATGACCTGCACCATCAGGTCCAGGAGTTGCCAGCTGTTCGCAGGATCATTTTAGTGTGTTGTCAAGTGTCTTAGAGACTGTACTGTTTTTCTGTCTGGTAATACTTTTTTTTCTCTCTAAATGATTTCCTACATAAAATTAAAATCCATTATCTATGGCAAGTTAGGAGACACCCAAGATGGCTGGGGAAGCCAGGCATAGCCACAGTTTCCAGTTAGGCAGTTTCATCAGATCCGGGCAACACAGACTGAACGAGTATGATGCCCATGCCTCGTGTAGCACAGGCATTGCAGCGCAATGGACTTTCCTCAGACATCAGACTTTTTTCATAATCTGTAAGGACTGCTTTACATCTGGACAACAGATTGCCAGAAATTATCTTTGGTATTCTCTCTGCAGCACTTTTTGGATAAACTAACCATTTATATTTAGAACTACTCCATGAAATATGTGAGGCATTATCCGATGCACCACAGACAGTGTTTCAGCACGATCAGACCCCATGCGCAAAGGTGTGCAGTGGGCGTGTGTCTAGAGTTGTGTAAGGACATTCTGTAGTGTCTGTACAACGACTAAACTCCCCAATGGTGTTCCCCAGAATGTTTCTTCATCACGTGACACTTCACTGTATTGCAGATTTATGTTACAAACCACCATGATGCCCATTTCTTTAAAAAAAAATGTTTTATGAAAGCACTTTTTAAAAACTGAACTCAAACTGTATGTTCAACATACATTCAGGTTCTTATAAAATTTGTTTGCCTCAAAATCCATAAGTTCATATCTACTAGGTAAATATAAATTCACTCAAACTTCCACTTTTTAGATAACAGTAAGTAATGTGGCCTAGGTAAAAGTTAATGGTAGAATACTCTAGAATTCAGTGATCAAAAGATTCCTGTTCCACAAAGGCCTTCATCTTCAAAGCTGACCAATAAAGAACAAACGTAGACTCATTCTATCTCAGATGCCCCCCCCATCATTAACTCCTAGTCCAGCTCACCAAAATAATTTTTTTTCTTCATTTCTAAAATTCTGCTCTCTGAGCTTCTTGAAAACCTAGTTGGTTATAAGATGTTTTGTTGAAAACTGGCAGGACACTCATGGTAGGTAGGAAATGTATGGCGAGGGTATTCAAAGCCTGTAGCTTAAAGTTCATGTGTGTCTTTTAGGGTCTGTGGGCTCCTGAAATGCCAGTGTAACTATGTGCATGAACAGCTAGCTGTATTTTTTTTTTCCTGATAAGTCTGTAGTGTTTTGTATATTTTTAGAAAGGTCCATCTCCCAAGGTAAGAACTTCTGTTCTATAACTGATATCTGTCTCCAGGGCCAAACATGGCCATGTTACTTTTTCAGTTATTCCTTTCCTTTTTTGTTGGCAAGGGGGCTGGTTCTAGTAGTACTTACTATTTTCACATGTGTATTTTCTTATGGATCCTTAATGTCTTGCTTTTCTTCCCTCCCCAGTCCCCCTTGTCTTTGCCTTCCATTGGAGCTCTGTAATCAGGAGTATTTGGTCAAATACCTATTCCACAGTTGATTTTAATTCCTCAGCTAGTGCTTCCTGTTGGTAGGCACTCTTGGAAGCTGTAGTAGAAGGTAATCGCCCTTGGAAATTACCATCTAGAATGGTCTTGCTCATGTTGCATAGATAGCAAGAAAAAAACACGTTGCTTTTTGATAAAATCACTTAGGAGGTTGAGTGAAAGTGGAAACTGTTTCTAGAGGGTGGCCAGGTGGAGGGGGTGAGGGTTTGCAGAAAGCAGAAGTAAGAAGAGACATGTGTTTGATGTGTTTGCATATGGAGGAGGCTCTTTGGCTATGGAATGAGGCCCTGTTTATAACTCTTCTCAGCAGCATGGGATGCGAAATGCCCAGGTATGACAAAATAGCTTGTATTGACCAACATTAAACATATGCTGCAGAAACTGAGGCCCACTTCCTTCCACCTTGAGACTAGGACTGCCTAGTGTTGAAGGATTTGCCACTGGCCAGAAAGATTTGAGGGCCTCTCACCGAAATGCTGAGGGCAGGTCCTCCTGGGGGCTAGTGCATGTCAAGCTTCTCAGGGAAGATGCTGAGTTTTCTGTTCCGCTTGGCGGGTTACTCTTCTTTGTAAGACTCCTTGAGAGTATAACTATGGGTAAATCAAGGACAGGCTGCTAGCATGATAGTGCAGGGTGCCCAGCTTTGAAGCCAAGCTTAGCCAATTTCAATGCTTAACTTAGTTCTTATAATATTAAAATTTTTTTCTATGTCATAGCAAAGCCTGCAAGCCACACTAAAAAACAAAAAATGAAATCCTGTCATCTGTGGATCAGTGGAACTAAAAGACATTAAGTGATACAAGCCACCACAAAAAGCCATGTAGCATAGTACATATCCAGAAATTAAAATGGCTGATTTCTGTAGAAGTGGGAAGCAGAACAGTTTTTTTGGAAGTTAGAGGGACAGAGTGAGGAGGGACAGAAGAAGGAAGAATGGCAGATACCAAAATACAGTGACACAAGAAGGTAAGTTCTAACATGCCGCGGCATTTTAGGATAATTGAAGTTTATAATCTATCACGTATTTTAGAAAGATCTAAAAGAATTAAAAAATTCCTGCTTCAATGAAATGAAGTATTTAAGGAGAAGAAAATATTGCCCTGATTTGACTATTACATATTGCGCACACATGCTGAGTTATCATCCTGCAGCACATGAAGAGCTATATACCATGTGTCAATTAAAATGAGATAAAAACGCCTGAAGGTTACTCTAAGGACTACCAGTAACTGCCTCAGTTACAAATGAACACTCACCATTTTGGGGGCTCATCCTTCATTTTTTCTCTGCCTTTTAAAACCTGCATCTTACACAGTGCTGGCCGCAGCGCCACCATTCACTTCATACTCCCGATGAACAAGGACTCCCTAACCAAGGCCAGAAACCCAAGCTGAGCCTTTCCAGTGGGTGAAGCAGGCATGTGCTATCTGTGTCTTACAATGGGGCAAGAATGTCTGGGCTTCTCCCTCCAGGATTCTGGGAAACCTACATTACAATGGACTTGCTAAGGCCTGTATAAAGGTTTTGAATATTTTTCCCCTTTCAAAAGTTCAAATTCACCTGATTATCATTAGCTGCCTAGTGACAATTCTTGCCAGCTAACTGCAGGGTCTGGCATGAGCAAGCACTTTTAAGGTCATCGTGTAGGTGGGAAAGGTGGATGGGTTAGTGTACGGAGAATGGCTTGCAAATATGGGACCTGGTTCTGAGCTCTCATCAGGACCAGTGTATCAGTGTCGGTCCAGCCTCTCATCTGTGGCTTTTCTCTTGCTAACACAGTTCCTCTCAACTCTTGTTCTCCCACATGCATTTTAGACATCAAATGACTCATGCGGAGGAACATGGCTTGATGAGTTGCATATAAATGTTACTAAAACATACGGATTACATTTCCTTTAAAAACACATGGGCTTAAAAATTAGAGGGGAAAGTGCTTGGCCAATGTTTTTTGGTTTCGCAGAACACAAAACATTTGTGGAATACTTTGGAGTTACAGAGGTTGCC